CCAGCCACTTTGTTACTTTTAATTATTAATATTTATTTTTAAGAAATATTTTGTTTCATTTGTTAATTTTTGTCAGGGGATTTGTTACTTTTAATTAATATTTTTAAATGATTTTATTTATTTTAATTTTTGTCAGATGGGGATGTGATGCAGCCACTTTGTTATTTTTAATTATTATTATTTATATTTATTTATTTTAATTTGTGTTGGATGGGGGAGGGTTGAAGTGCAACAGGCCCACATTAGTGTAGCTGCATGTTATTTGGGGGGGGCTCCTTGGCACTGGGACCCCATTCTATTATTTGAACTTCTCTTGTGTTTGCAGAGGCTTTGAAGCCAGAGGGAAACCTCAGCACAGCAGGAATAATAGCAGCCAAGGCTCCCTCAGCAGCCCTTTCCCTGATGGAAAACGCATCCCACAGTGGAGAGGGGGACCCCCCACCCACCCAGTGCCCGAGGCCCTGAACAGCTTTGCCAAGGGCACACACAGCGCCTTGCTTCAACGTTGCTGGCTTCCCTGCCAAAAACGTAAGAGACCCCCCCCCCCACTCATAGCTGTCTGCTGTCACACTCTCCTCTGCAAGAGGGCTGATGATTTATTTAAACTTGTTATCAATTTTGCAGAGGATGCAGCCGAGCAAATGCCATGTAGCTCAGCTAAACTGATGCACACCCCCTCCCGGCCCCCTCCCCCCAATGTGCTAGGAAGCAACTTCTCCTCTCTGCATTTCCGGCAGCCTGGAGCAATCCCCTTGGCAATTCCAGACTCCCACCAGCCCCTCAAAGCGTCTGGGGTGCTCCCTGGGCTGGAGGGGGATGAAGAAGGAAGCTGATCCAGCCCCGCCCGGAGAGAACAGCTCCCTTTGGGGTGTCTTGGGGGGAGCCTGTGGACTGTTCCTTCCCTAGAATTTGTTCCAGAATGAGAGGGGAGCACTTGAAGAGCCTCCAGATGTTCCTTCCCTTTGAGGCATCTGGTTTTCTTCTCTCAGTTTGCATTGAAATTGCAAAGAACCAAAACTTTAAGATGGGTGGACTTCAACTTCCAGAATTCCACAGCTGGCTGGGGAATTCTGGGAGTTGAAGTCCATCCATCTGAAAAGTTGCTGAGGTTGGGAAACATCGACTCGGCCGGTGTTTAACATAAACGAGAGGTCTCCACTGCCGCCACCTCCCAGGATTTCCTCCCTGGTGACCATCAGTGCCCCTTGCCTCTTTGATGTTCTCCACACCACCTGACCATCGAAGGTCTACCAAGGGCCAACCATCTCTAAATACAGGTAGTTCTCGACTTACAACCATTTTTTAAAGTGGCCCTTCCAGGTCACCATGGAGCTGAAAAAAAGTATTTCACACCAGCTACCATTGTAACACCCCCAAATTCGGATGTTCGGCATCTGGGGTGCATTTAGGACGGTTGCAGTGTCCCGGGTCACATGCTCCCTTTATGGCCTTCTGACAAGCAAGGAAGCCACATTCGCTTAACCATGTTACTAACTTAATAGCTGCAGTGATTCAAGTATGGCAAGACGAGTTGTAAAACGAGGCCAAACTCACTTAGCAACTGTCTTGCTTAGCAACAGAAATGTGGGGCTCAATTGTAGTCGTAAGTCGAGGACTAGCTGTACCCCACTGAGAGTCTTCTGAGGAAGAGACGCTGATGGCTGCCTTTTGTGTTGCCGACACCCTTCTGCACCAGCGTATTTCATCCCTGCTTTTGGCACGCCGTGCCCTGTCACTCACAGCCGCTTCTCTCCCGTCTCGGGAGATGCTGATTTACGGGTGGCCTCGCTCACCAGATCCCTGCAAGATCCCCGGAGAAATGTCGCGTTTTCCACATGTGATTACCTCCTGCGAGCACAGCTGTGCGTTGCTTGCAGCTCCTTATTCAGCAAAGCTCGATGGCATCCAACGGTCATGCCACATCCATAGCCAGTGGGTGGGCTCAGAGCCGGCATCTTGCATTTCAGGAAACCGGCCCCTCCCTGCCTCCCCCTCCCCCCCAAAATAGGGCCCGAGGCTGCTGAACTCCAGATGCCATTTGCAAAAGGAGGTCAGCAGCCCTCCCGGCCAGATGCCAGCCGTCTGTGCCAGCTGCTGTAGAGTGACCTGAATTTTAATGGCCAACGCTGGGTGGAGAGTAGCTGAATAACAGGCAGCCAGTGAAGGTTAGCAGAACCATAGATTCCTAGGGCTGGAAGGGGCCTTGGAGGTTTTCTAGTCCAACCCCTGCCTAAGATAGGAGTCCTTCTACAATCTTGAATCTTTTCTTGAAAACCTCCAGCAGTGGAGAACCTCCACAACTCCAGCAGGCAAGCTCTTCCACTGCTTAATAATCAGGACATTCCTCCAAATCTCCAAGTTGGATCTCCCTCTGAGGAGCTTCCATCATTGCAGGACCAGAAGCAACGGATGGAAACCCATCAAGGAGAGAAGCAACTTGGAACCAAGGAGAGATTTCCTGACAGCGAGAACAATGAACCAGTGGAACAGAAGTTGCCTCCAGAAGTTGTGGGTGCTCCATCACTGGAGGCTTTTAAGAAGAGATTGGGCAGCCACTTGTCTGAAATGGTATATAGGTTCTCCTGCTCGAGCTGGGGGCTGGACTAGAAGACCTCCGAGGTCCCTTCCAACTCTGTGATTCTGTTTCTTCTCCTGCCCTCTAGCGCTAGGGAGAATAAATCTATGCCGTCTTCCCTGCTTCAACTACTGGAAGACGCTATCAGGTCTCTCCTAAACCTTCTCTTCGTTAGGCAAAACATGGCCTAGTTCCAACAGAAAAGAATATTTATAGCTCAGGGTAGAAATGAGGGGTCCTTGGTGGTCTCTGAGCTTGGTGGTTTTCTTACATTTCATGGCCAAACTAGGTAACATCAGCAGTGCCCTGACAACCAAGCTCAGAGTGCACTGATGATGTTACCTAGCTTGGTCATGAAATGTCTGCAAAAAACCACCAAGCTCAGAGACCACCAAGGACCCCACATACCGAGTTCCCTTAGATGTTCATCGTTGCTCTTCTTGCACCTTTTCTAGAGCCTCGGCATCTGCAGCTCAGTAACACAAATCCCTCCGCAGGCAGATTTGGCAGCTCGACCAGAGTGGGGTCCCCGGGAGAGGTTTTAGGCCCTGGACGGCTGATCTGGGCAAACTGCCCCCTGGCAGAGACAGGCGTTTCCCGAGGGGATCCCGAGGCGGCTTGATTTCCTGTGATCCGTCGTCATCTGAAGGACACGGCTTCCCTGTTTTATCCCAAAGTCCCTTCCTCCCCTGCAGCAAAGGGCTCTAGGATTTAGTACCGGGGCCGCCCTTGAAGGCTGTTCAAGAACTCTGGCCTTTGCAAACTGCAGCAGCTCCACGATCTGAGCCCCTTGGCTGCAAAAGGCCAGAACTTTGAATCTCTGAAGCCGCCATTAAAGCCTTCGTGGTCCTGGCGAAAAAGAAAACGGAAACATCAACGCCGAGGGTAATATTCATAAAAGAGGAAAAGGACGGAAGGACATGCGAATAACAGCCAAGAGGCCTGTATTAACAGGGGAGCCGGACCGAAAAGCAGACCGAGCATTATTGTTATTCACCGAGGCTTAAGAACCTCGGCGGCTGCTGACAAAATAGGATCCCTGGGATCTGACCTGCTTTCCCGAAGCCCTGGGAGAGGGCCAGGCGATCTCTCGGGAGAAGGAATCCATCTGCAGGAGCCTGGTTGAGTTCTCAGCCCAAATTCATGAACTGATAAATTCATAAAACCCTCATTAAGTGGGGAACTGACCCCGTTGCCCAGAGTGGTGGCTTCTGCTCTTGGACGTGGTCTTCTGGAGCTTTGAGGCCTCATCCTGAGAAGAAGCAACATCTGGTCCCCCAAATTTCCAGCCCTGCCTCCCTCTAGGGCCCCTCCCTCCCGAGGCCTCACCCCGACATCTGCAGCTGTTCCTAAACAACTTTCCAGCAACACAGCTGCTTTTCGGCTCCCTCTGACGTCTCCGGGGGGAAGCTGGGCTGGCTGGCTGCCATCACGAAGAGGAGGGGATTGCCAAGACCGTTTTTTTAATGGTTGTTTTTCTCGCCAATTGCTTTGAGTTTCTTTGGGGCACCGGGTGACCTGACTCGCCTCCACGCCCGAGAAAAAAAATGAAACCTGTACATTTTAGCAGGCAACAACCCTCCAAGCAGACCTTTGCTCTGGAAAAGCCACAGCAGCCCAGTTGGGAGGGCACACGCATTCCCTTAGGGCGGTGCCAACGGACTGGCCTTCTGGAAGCGGGTTCTGCGCCCTGCCCTCTGCCTTTGGGGGTGGACCCTCTGGAACAATCCATTCTGAACCCACCGGTAGCTGGACACAAAATGGACCCAGAACTGTGCCAGGTGCTTCACTCCCCTGCCAGGCAATCCCAGTCAACAAACACCCCTAAGAGCAGAAAAGGCCACCATTGTCCAGCCAGATGATTTTTAAAGCATCTCAATTTAGAAAGGGGGGGGGGGCAGTGGGGCTGTTTTCCCTTGGTCTGGGGGCCTTCCTCTCTCCCCCCCACAACTGCCGCAGCCACAGAGGTCTGCTGCATGAAGGGAACTCCCACCTACCCATTCTCTGGAAAGTGTGGGTTAAAGATGATCCCCCCTTCTGCTATGCTGGACTTTGAAATACAGGCAGTTCTCAATTTACGACCATAATTCAGCCTGTCATGCTGGTTGCTAAGCAGATCACCGTGTGACCCCAATCCAATTTTACGACCTTTCTTGTCAAGCAATCCATTCTCTGCAAAGGGCAGGTTTTTTTGCAGGAAAACCACAATTAAACATTGATTTCTGGCAAAAAAAAAAAAATCATAAATTGTGGTCACAAGACTGAGGGATGCTACAAATGGCCGTAAATTGGGCCGGATGCTGAGTGCCCCAGTCATGTGACGGCTGGGGGCTCATCAGAATTTTGAATCTGGGGTGTGAGTAGCTCTGGGGAGCTCTGTTGTAAGTCTGTAGATTCGCTAACTGACCGGCCGTAAGTCGAGGAGTACGTGGTTTGCTTTTATTTTGGGGGCAACAGCCCTTGAGCTGAGCAAGGAAACGACCATCAGGGCTTCACCATTTTTCCAAGAAGATTTTCTTTCCATTTTCTGCCCCCCGCCCTCCATACCTGCCGAAAGAAACCAGGCGCCCACATCCTTCTCTGGGAAGAAACCGTCCTCCGTTTTCACCTCCGTTTATTAGAAAATTCCAGCTGTGGCTTAGAAAAACAAAAGGACTTTGTAGAAAACGGGCCCTGAAGAGAGTCCAGTAGAAAGATGCCCGTAAGGCTGAGGTGAGACCCCAGAGCCTCTCCACACCCCCCAGAAGAGGCAAGTGAGCTGGGGGGGGCCGCCCGGGTCTCCTGCGGGGGCTGTGGCACCCTGTGGTGGGACAGTCGAGGAATGGCGCCAACTCCGGATTCAGCCTGCAAGAGAGACCAGCAGAATTTGGCTTCCTTGCAAGCTCTGAGTGCCTGGAACACAGACCGAGTTCACCTAGCACACCGCATCATGGTTTAACTGTGGCTTATGGAATAAACTATCATTGTTAGCTAGGTTTGCACAAGGTGGTGTTGCAATCTGGGACTTTTGGGGGCTCCTATCTGAATTCTGCATATGGATGTTGCGTGGCAGTGGAAGCCGGGGAGGGGGCAGGAACACAGTCGATTGTGTTGGGGAAGACCCCCTGCTCTGTCCCACTGTAGCCCCATTTGGGCTGAGCCCACCCACAACCCAAGAGCCTTGGTAGTACAGTGGACTAAAGCACTGTTATTAGCATCTGCTGCTTGCAATTACTGTAAGTTCGAATCTCCCCAGGCTCAAGGTTGACTCAGCCTTCCATCCTTTCTAAGGTAGGTAAATTGAGGACCCAGTTTGTGGGGGCAATAAGCTGACTTTGTATAAATATACAAAAGGATGAAGGCTATTGCTGAGCACATTGTAAGCCGCCCTGAGTCTCCGGAGAAGGGCGGCATATGAATTAAAGCAAAAAAAACCCCAAACCCTCCACCATTCAAGGACGGAACTGGGAACAAGTCTGTAGTCCTTATTGGCATTAAAGAACAAAATAAACTTAGAAATTTTGTGTTTCCTGACCCCAAAGCCATGGGGGCAATTTTTTCCCCTCCTGTTACAGATAGTCCTTGACTTATGGCCACAATTCAGCCTCAAACTTCCATGGCTAAACCAGGCAGTTGTTAAGTGAGTTTTGCCTCATTTTATGACCTTTTTCTTAGCACACCTATTAAGAAAATCCCTGCCGTTAAAGGAATCCTGCGGCCGTTAAGCAAATCTGGCTTTCCCCATTGACTTTGCTCGTCAGAAGCCAGCTGGGAAGGTTGCAAATGGAGATCACGTGACCATCATAAATACGAGTCAGTTGCCAAGCCCCTGAATTTTAATCACGTGACCACGGGGAGGCTGCCACAGTCGTAAGTGTGAAACCAGGTTTTTCAGTGTCATAGTAACTCTGAACGGTCACTAAACCACTGGTTGTAAGTCAAGGACTCTCATAGTAAGTTTCCTCTGCTGTTGGGTTCTGTTTTGGCTGACCGAAACGCCCGAGTCTTGGGGTGTAAAATTCAGCAGACATAAGCAATGCCCCCCTCCCCCAACACCACCCACAGCTCGAAGCTGGTCTCCACTCAGCAGCTGCACACACAAACTTTCTGCATGCCCCTCCCCCCAAATCAAATCAAGAAGCAATGGATGGAAACTAATCAAGGAGAGAAGCAACCTAGAATTAAAGAGAAACTTCCTAAGGGTGAGAACAGCAGAAATCACGGGGGCGCCATCACTGGAGATTGTTAAGAAGAGACTTTAGTAGGTTCTCCTGCTTGAGCAGGGGGCTGGACTAGAAGACCTCCAAGGTCCCTTCCAGCTCTATTCTATTCTAAACGCCACTGGTGTCTATTCACAACCGTCGTAAGGAGGAACCGTCTCTCCGAGTGAGCCAAGTCTTCCTATTTTGAGTGTGTTCATTTTTCTTTTTTAAAAAAATCTTGAAGGATCCATGCACCTAAAGCCATTTCTCATGGCAGCCCCCAAGAATGGCAAAGTAGAAACAGTGGGGCCCTGGGTGAAATGACAGAGAAATCAGCTGCCCCACATCTGGCTGGAGTGCAAAGCACAGCAGATGAGTGGACAGCCGCCTTCTTCAAATGTGCAGCCCCCCCTCCTGCGTTGGACCCATAATTTCTGGCAATGGGGGGGGGCAGAGAGAGCTCCTACCTGGGGGCTCAGGTCGGGTTGTGGCTCGTTCTTCAACGGCCGACTGCCAGGGCTCAGATCTTGACACCGGTCCAGTCATTGGTGTTCCTCCTCTCCTCGGTTGGAAGCGTTAAGGGGGGGTCTGCACGAAGCAAGGGGGGGAAGGAAAGAGGCAGAGTGGGGGAGGGTCGACAGGAGGTAAGCAGTGTAGCAAAGGAAGGAAATCCCCCTGCCTCAATTGCAGTGTTTTTCAATCTTGGCCCCTTTAAGACATGTGGACTTCAACTCCCAGAATTCCCCAGCCAGCTTTGCTGGAGAGGAAACAGCTTTGCAGGCTGGGGAATTCTGGGAGTTGAAGTTCACATTTCTTAAAGGGGCCAAAGTAGGAAAACACTGCTCTGGAAGGACCCCTACTCCTTTCTCATGAGCCAATTCACCTAATACTTGAGATATTTTTCTCTCGGCACCTCCAGATAGGAGCCCACAAGCCCCGGGGCCAAGATTTGGGCAGGGGCTTCTGGTTGCTGACCTAAAGTTGCTGGTTGCTGCAGGGAGGAAGGATTCTACCCCTGGCTGTTGAAGGCAACTAACCGCAAATCTGAACACGTCTCTCTCTGTTCATCCAACCTTTGGCCCCACAGCCACACACGGCCTATCCTCCCTCCGCAGGCAGTCCTCAACCTACGACCACAACTGAGCCCCAAACATCTGTTGTTCAGCGAGACCGTGGCTCGTTTCGCCCCATTTTGCGACCTTCCTGGACCCAGTTGTTAAGTGGCTTCTCCACTGACTTTGCTTGGCAGAAGATGGCAAAAGGGAATCACGTGGCCCCGAGGACACTGCAACCGTCGTAAGTATGAACCAGTTGCCAAACGTCTGAATCCAGATCACGTGATGGTGCAGTGCTTAGAATGCAGTATTGCAGACTAATTCTGCTGACTGCCAGGGGTTCAATCGTGACTGGCTCAAGGCTGACTCAGCCTTCTGTCCTTCCAAGGTCGGTAAATTGTTGGGGGCAAAAGGCTGATTCTGTAAACTGCTTAGAGAGGGCTGGAAAGCACTGTGAAGCAGTCTATAAGTCTAAGGGATATTGCTCTTCCTTCCTTCCTTCCTCCCTCCCTCCGTCCCTGCCTGCCTGCCTGCCATCCAGCCATGGTGCACCGTGCTTAGGATGCAGTATTCCAAGCTAATTCTGCTCACTGCCAGGAGTTTGATCATGACAGGCTCAGGGTTGACTCAGCCTTCCATCCTTCCAAGGTGGGTAAAATAAGGACCCAGATTGTTGGGGGCAAAAGGCTGATTCTGTAAACCGCTGAGAGGGCTGGAAAGCACTGTGAAGCGGTCTATAAGTCTAAGGAATATTGCTATCATGGGGATGCTGAAACGGTTATATGAAAAATGGTCATAGGTCAACTTTTTTCAGTGCCGTTGTGAGTTAAAACGGTCACTAAATGAACTGTCGTAAATTGAGGATTAGCCGTATTTCAGGAGCAGCCTCTTTCACTTTACCTTCCTCTTCTGCTCTGGAGGCCTCGGGGCATCCATGGTGGCGGTCGAGACTCATCCGGGACCACCTCCTCCTCCTCCGGGGGGACGAGACCTCCTCCTCTGGCCCTTTCTCGGAGGAAAGGGGCCGTGCGCCTTTCTCACAGTCCTTGCTTAGCGCCACCAGGCCACGGTCCCTCCTGGTCCGGCCGCTGTCTGCCTCCCACCCCTCGTGTCTGGAGGCCGAGCAGGGCAGCCCGGTGGGGGGCTGAGGCGGGTGGCTGCCGTTGGTCTGGGAGTAGACGTTGCTGACTTTGGTCTTCTTCGGCTCCTCTTGGCCGCTGTAGACCTTGTACCGGATCATGAGGATGATGATGAAGACCAGCACCGAGGCCACGATGATGCCCCCCACGATGATGATCATGGTGCCCCCCAGGAACTGGGTGTGGAGCGAGTGGCACTGCAGGCCGTCCCGCAGGGTGCTGAACTGCAGGCAGCCCAGGCTCTGGGTGACCGTCAGCGAGGTCACCCCGTCGTTGTACACGGCCAAGACGCAGAGGTGGTAGTCCCGCCCGGCGGCCAGGTCCTTCATCAAGAAGCCCTTGCTCGTGGGAGGGATCATTCTGGGGGGAGAAAGAGAGAATCATAAGAGTCGGAAGGAGCCTCGGAGGTCATTTAGTCCACCCCCCTGCTCAAGCAGGAGGCCCTATACCAGGAGAGGCCAACTTTGGAACTTTGTGGACTTCAACTCCTAACCGTAACACTGTCCTATACCATCCGGGACAAATGCCTATCCTATTTCTTCTTGAAGACCTCCAGGGATGGAGCACCCATAACCTCTGGAGGGGAAGCCATTCCACAAATGAGGTTATGAGCAAAGCTAGCTGGGGAACTCTGGGAGTTGAAGTCCACAAGTCTTAAAGCTCCCAAGGCTGGAGCCCCTAATCCTATACTGTCCGGGACTTATAACTGCCCAATCTCTTCTTGAAGACCTCCAGTTGATGCAGCACCCACAGCTTCTGGAGGGAAGCTGTTCCACAATTGAGGTTGTGAGCTCTGCCTTCCGCAAGGTAGATAGATCACCAGCCCTGGAGAACAGCAGCCTGTCTGAAGGAGGTCTGGGCTCCCCTGGTTTCCTAGGGGCTGGAGCATCTTCAGTGCACCTTGGCCCTGAAGTCCCCTCCGCTCCCCTAAGGCCAGATCGAGACATCCAAGCAGCTGCCCCCCCCCCCCCCCCACCCCCCCGGCGCTTCCGCCCCCTCCCAGCCCCCCTCCTTTCATGTTCGCTTCCATCCGCCTGGGGGTCCCCAGAGTCCATCCGGTGGCTCTATTCCACTCACGTCCCCAACAGGGCCAGGTCTCCAGTCTTGTGACTCTGGCTTCCCGTGGCTGCAACATGATTCCCACCATCTCGGACTTCAAAGGCCGGGAGGAACTGTGCTAAGAGGCTTTCAGGCCGATCAGAAGCTCGGCCGCTTAAATGTCAACAAACTCGCAGGGGGCTCCTGTCTAATGACGAGCCCCTCTTCGTGCGGCACAAAGCAGAGCGGGGCAGCTCCGCCAGGGAGGCCGGGCCCTGCAGCCTTCCCAGCCTCCTTCAAGCTGGAAGGTGGGTTTGCAAGGCAGCAGCCGAGCTGAGCGGGTGAAGGGCCGGCCCAGACGAGGGGAATGGATCCAGGGGGCACCACCATCCAGCCTCCAGGGCCAAAGCCCCCACTGGCTGAAGGTCCCAGGGCATCCCCGGGGGGAGGACGGAAACCCCGCTCTCTCTTGCAGGTGGGGAGATGCCCTCACTTTGCAACAGGAGGGAAATTTTGGGGGCTGTGAGACAATCCAGCCCAGTGGAGGCAACAGGTAGAATACAGGCGGTCCTTGACTTACAACAGTTCAGTTAGTGGCCGTTCGAAGTTGCAACGGCACTGAAAAAAGCGACCTGGGACCCTTTTTCACACTTACGACCATTGCAGTCCCGTGATCCAAATCCAGAGGTTTGGCAACTGGCATGTACTTATGACAGTTGCAGGGTCCCTCCCAGGGTCATGTGATCCCCCTTTTGTGACCTGACAAGCAAAGTCAGTGGGGAAGCCAGATTCACTTAACAACCGCAGTGATTCTCTTAACAATGGAGGGAAGAAAGGTCGTAAAATGGGACAAAACCCAACTTAACAAGTCTCCCTTATCAACGTACCTTTTGGGCTCAATTGTGGTCGTAAGTCGAGGACTATCTGTGTAGAACAGCCTTGGCTTGGTTTGAGACTCAGAAAGAGAAAACGCCTCTCTTGGTTTGTGGGGGACCCTGTCCTTCACCCCCCCACCCCCTCCCACCCCCCAACTCTGCCCCCAAAGCAGCTCTTCCTGAGCAAGGCAGCCCAGGAGCCTCAGAAACCCCTCCCGGCATCTGCCCCACCCCCGTTTCAAAGCAGGGCAGCCCCACCCCCCCCCCCACCCCAGGCACAGTCTTTGCGGAGGCTTCGCAGAGCTACCTGACCAGCATGCCAGCTCTTCCGCCTGCATTCCCCCCATCCGGAAAATGAGCCCTGCATGTTAACATGCCCCCCCCCTTTGTCCTTGAGCCCCCCTCCTCTCCTCTCCTCCTCAGGCAGGGCCAGTGCAGATGGCGTGGGCAGCCGAAAGGGCCCCCAAGAGAAACCCCCCTCCCCGGGATCCCAGAATCCTCTCTTGCCGGCCCTTCACCTATTTCGGGAGGGGCCCCTCCCCCTCCATCCTTGGTGACATTTCAAGGAGCCCGAAGGTGGGGCTGGCGGTTGGGGGGGTTGATGGGAAGCTGAGCCTCTTGGATCAATAGATGCTGGGCCCAGGCGGGATTCAAAAAGCTCTCCTGCCTGCAGGGCCGGCCCCCTCCCCACGTTCCCCCCTCCCCGCCCCCAGCTGACTCACAACAGGCAGCAGGGAGTTCACCCTCCCCTGCCCCCCCCACTCACGCTGGCTCTCACGCAGGCAGAGGCACACACCACACACACACACACACACACGGCTGCTGAAATCCAGTTCTGCATCCTAAGTAGGTCACCCCACATTCGGCAGCAGGCAATGGATGCTGGGCCCACTGCCAGAGGATTGGGGGGGGAGTCCCAGAAGACCCTCCCCCCCCAGAGAGCTTCCCCATCTCAGCAATGCAGCAGGGGGAAGGGGAGAGGCTGGGCTACCAGGGAGGGGCAGAGAGGAGCCCCCCCCTTCTTGCAATGCCAACCCCTCCCCCCAGTAGGGCCTTTGCTGCCCCCATCGGCTGGTCCCGCCCCATGGTCACGTGATCAGAATTCCAAAGCTTAGCAACTGACTCACGTTTATGACGGTCGCCATGTCCCGGGGTAAAGCGATCCCCTTTTGCGACTGTAACAAGTATAGTGATCCACTTAACAACCGTGGCGAGGAAAGTTGTAAACTGGGGCAAAACTCGCTTAAGAACTAAGCAACGGATATTTTAGGCTCAATTGAGGACTACCTGCACCCAAGGACTGGGAGAGGATGATGGGCTCCCAGTCCCATAGGCCCCCTCCCTCAGCCCCGTGGCTAAAAGAGGGAGACCCCAACCCGTATTGGATGGGAGGCGAGGGTAGTTGTGGTCCGGGCAGGGAAAGTGGGCCCTATCAATGCACAAGGTTATGGGATGGGAGTGTTGTGGGGAGCTCCAGAAGGCCCCCTCAGACTCTGGGTTCGAGACATGAACCTTCCCAATGGAAGCAAATTGCAGGGAATTCCAGCTGGGAACTCCTAACCGCCTTGAATTTCATTTCATACAAATTTTATCCCTTCAACGTAGCAGCTGGAAGTTCTCCAGAAAGGAGAAAAGCCAGGAGCCACCCCAGCCAGGAGCAATCCTGTTCAGGAGGTGGAATCTGATCGGGCTGCTTGGGAAACGGCAGGGAGCCTGCAAATCTCTCAAAAATGCTGGATTCCCAGGCATGTTTACTCAGCACCTTAGAAAGGAAAGAAAACAACATTTTGCATCCCGTTAAACCCTCCCCCCCCATGCCAGCTGCCCCCTCCCCAGCATTCCACGAGAAGAGGAAGCTGGTGCCACAGCCAAGATTTTTTATACCTATAAAAATTCCCATGCAAATCTATTCCCTTTCTTTTGCATTCATTATCCTGCCTTTGGAGGGGGGGGAAAAACCCCGTTTGCAGGTTGGGAGGCTCGGATTTGCTTCTCAAGAAAGAGGGCAGAGCTGAAAAGGAGCCGAGCGTTGGCACACGGACGTCCCGCAGGCTCCTCTGGGATTCTCCCAACATTTCACTGTCAAGTCTGCATTCCTAACCAGGCGGGGAAGAACCTGACCTTCAAGAAGGAAAGGAAAGAATCGGAAAGGCTGGAGAAATATTCAGCCAGGCGCCCAGCAACAGACTTTAGCCCTCTCTGAGGCGCTCGGGTTCTGCAGATGGGCCCCTCCGAGCTGGCCTGGCGGACTGGAAGCCCATCATCCTCTCCCAGTCCTCAGAGAGCAAGTTATAATTTCATTTTTAAGGTGTGCCAGAGTGCTCACAGTAAAAAAACGACAACGAAGGCTATGCGATGCTGTAATATCTATCCCGCAACATATTATGGTGATTTTATTATGGTTTATCAGGCCAATGGTTGTCCAAGCGCTTCTTAAAAGCCTCCAGTGTTGGGAGCACCCACAACCTCTGGAGGCATGTTGTCGTCCATCCGGTCACTAGGAGCTGACCTTGCCGTTCCTGCCCCCAATTTGTGCGGGAAAGTCACTCCCAGCCCTGGAGGGGCTTCCCGGCACTTACTAACCCCTAGTGACGTGGCCCCACCCCCACGACTCCTAAGCGCCGCCACGGATGACCCAGCTCACCTGTACACCAGGGTGTCATCCGAGGAGCTGTTGTACTGGATCTGGTACATGCGGATGCCAGGGATGTGCCACTGGGGGTACCAGCGGATGAGGACAGAGGAGGAGGAGATTTCTGAGGCCACCACGCCCTTGTCCTGAGAGGCGCCCGTGTCGTTGGTGCCCAAAGGCAGGGTGGCCATGGCTGAGGTGAGGATGTCCGAAGGCCCCACGGCCTCGGGCACCTTGGGGGTGGTGCTGTTGGAGAGCAGCGGCAGCAGGTTGACCAACAGCTCCACGGAGGTGGTGGCTTCTCCGGCGGCATTGGAGGCAATGCAGGTGAAGACCCCGCTGTCCTGGATAGCCGCGATCAGGATCTCCAGGGTGCCGTTGTCGTAGGAGACGGTCCGCGAAGTGTTGGCCACTACTTTGCCCTCGGGGGAGACCCAGTGGATGGAGGGCTCTGGGTCCCCCACTCCGCGGCAGCGGAGGACCGCCCCCTCGCCCTCCATGACCGCCAAGCGGCCCGTGTGCCGGGTGATGACCGGCGGCTCGCAAATGAACTCCTCCTCGGGGATGGTCCAGAAGTACTTGCCCAGCAGGTCGGGGGGCGAGGCGCAGGTCTCCAGGTCGTCCTCCCTGGCCAGCCGGCGCAGCCAGAGAAGCTCGCAGTTGCAGTGCAGGGGGTTCCCCCCCAGGCTGAGCACCAGGGAGGAGGGAGGGGAGCCCTTGGACTTGGCGTAGACCGGGATGCGGAGGAAGAGCGGGTCCGGCGGGATCTTCTTTAGCTTGTTGGAGGTCATGTCCAGGCGGGCCAGCTTGAGCAGGTTGGTGAAGACGCCCTCGGGCACAAAGTCGATCAGGTTGTGGTCCAGGCTGAGGGAGTTGACGTTGTGCAGGCGGTGGACGGTGTCCCAGGGGACCCGCGCCAGGTTGTTGTAGGAGAGGTCCAAATCCTCCAGGGTGCTGGCAAAGTCGTCGAAGGCCACGGGGGAGATGTCCTGCAGCTGGTTGTTGCTGAGGATGAGATGGCGCAGGTTGGGCAGGCCCTTCAGCTGCTCGGCCCCGATCAGGAGCAGCCGGTTGTTGTCCAGGTGCAGCGCCCGCAGGCTGCGCAGGTCGGCGAGGGCGTAGGGCAGGATCTGGCTGATGGTGTTGCGCGAGAGGGTGAGGTGCACCAGGCTGGTCATGTTGGAGAAGTCCTTCCGGCGGATGACGGTGATGAAGTTGTCCGTCAGGCGCAGCTCCACCGTGCGCCGGTCGATCATGGTGGGCACGAAGAGGAGGCCGGTCCTGGTGCACAGGATGGCCAGCGAGGGAGAGAGGTTCTGGCACATGCAGCGCTTGGGACACACCTGAGCTCGGGCCAGGTGGGCCAGGACCACCAGAAGACACAGCAGGAGGCCCTCCATGGCGCTGGTCAGGAAGGGGGCTGCAAGGCAAAGATGGGCAGAGGTTAGGAGACGGCCTGGTCCATGGGCACCTCCAGAAGACCCCCGCCGGCTGAAGTCCAGGTCTCCACTGATGAAGCCTCCAGCTCAGGAGTCTCCAAACATGGCCACTTTAAGATTTGGACTTCAACTCCCAGAATTCCCCACTTCAAGACTTGTTGACTTCAGCTCTCAGAATTCATCAGCCAGCACAGCTGTTTCCTCTCCAGCACAGCTGGCTGGGGAGTTCTGGGAGTTGAAGTCCACACATCTTAAAGTGGCCAAGTTTGGAGAGTCCTGCTCCTCGCCTGGGTCCAATTCAGCAACTGAGTCTAATTTCCCCCCTTGTCTTCTTCCCCGAATTCACACACCCAAAAGCCGCCTGGCCAGAAACTGGGAAAGAACAGCTCCCCTCCGTTTGCCTGAACCCGCTGCTGACTCCCTTGCCACGTTCCTGAATTATGGAAAGTGGGGGGGAGGGATTTCATTCTTTCTGGACCATACACGGAGTTATAAGCCTTGGGGTGCCTTTTCCTCGCTTGAATCTGCCCCTGCTGAATCACAAATTGGATCAAGATTCACATTTATTGACGGTGCTTTTCATCGATTTTCCCCTCTCCATCCACCCCCAAAGCTCTGCAGGTTTCAGTGATGCTTTTCAGCCAAAGGATAAAAACCATCTTTGACAAGGTGGCCGAGAGCCCCGAGGTTCCTCGTGGCCTGTTCCTCGCTTGATGGGTCCTGTAACCTGGGTGCCGTTTCATCTAATGGTAAATTAACTCTGGAATGAAATTGCAGGGCCCCTCCTTTCGGCATCCGGGGGTCTTTTTTTAATTTTAATTTTAAATTTTAATTTTAAGCAGCTAGAAAGTCCCAGAGCAGATCCATGCATTGCATTTCACTGAAGTCTCCGGCCTTTCTGGATTTTCTTAGCAGGGGCAACCGAGGTGGGCTAAGACCCCCCATCCAGAAGTAAAGCATCTGCTGCTTTTCAAATGTTATCACTTCATCAAAATAAAAAATAGAGAAATACAGGTAACGCTCAACCTACAATTGAGCCTAAAAATTCTGTTACTAAGCAAGACAGTTGTTAAGTGACCTTTCCCCCATTTTGACCTTTCTTGCCAGTTGTTAAGTGAATCACGGAAGCTGTTAAGTTAGTCACACGGTTGTTAAATGAACCTGGCTTCTCCATGGACTTTGCTTGCCAGAAGGTTGCAAAAGGGGATCACGTGACCCCGGGAGGCTGCAACTGTCATAAATATGAAGCACCTGAATTCTGATCATGTGACCATGGGGATGCTGCAGTCAGTAAGCGAACTGTTATAACTCAAGGACTTCCTGCATTGGGTTTCTCTGTTTCAAGGGAGGAAACTGGCAACTGGTTAGTTTTTTCCCCTTAGAGATATCTGTGCCCAGAGTTAGCCAGTTCCCTCATTTTGGAATAAGTAAGAATAACAGATGAACTGAAAGGGGCTCTGCCTTCAGAAAGCCATATTAGAAATAGCCCAAGGAGCTTGAAATAATCTCTCACCCCTCCTCCTCGATCAGGCAAGTTTGGGAATGATGGGGGATGTAGTCCCCTATCTGGAGGACAGAGAAGAATGCTGTAGTAGCCCACCATTCTTCCTTGGCGTAGAGGCTGTGGTTCCAGCGTTTATATTATTATTATTATTATTATTATTATTATTATTATTATTATTATTATTATTATTTTGGGGGTGCCATCTCTCTTCACCCTGTAAATCAGATCTTGGCTGCTTTTCTCCTTGCACATGCAGGTCGCCTGAAATGACCCAGGAAGGCAGAAGGAAAACAAATTACCATAAAGACAAAACCCAGCATGGCTGTAAGGCCAGCAAACGCCCAGCAAGGAGATGAATATTTCATGATCAAATACTTAGTGAGCAAACACGGGAGAGGAATGTCGTAAATATCTCTTATCAACTTAATTAATCTTAAATCTCCAAATAAAGCGATATTGATTTATCTTTTTCCAAAAGATTAAGCCCCCCCAAATCCATAACCAAGAAAGGGAATCAGAAGGGCGTTTAGTGGATTCTTCCCCCTGTGACCCCCCTCCCCTCCTTTTCTTCCCTGCCACTCCTAGGCATCGCGGGAGAAATCCTGGGGAGGGAGAGTAGGTGGAGCGGAAGTTCCCCAGGACAGACCCCTGGGGCTCTTCTCCGTCTCTCTGCCTGGCGCCAGCCACTTTCTCTCTCTGCCATTTAAACAAGAACAGAGCCAGAAAAAAAGAGGACAGGAGGGGGGGGAGATGAGAGAAAGGTCTGAACTTGCTTGGAAAAAGCCCCCTTCAATCCGCCCCTCCCCCAGCTAATAAAACTCGAGATTTGACTATGCCAGAAGCCTCTAAGGACTCAAAGGCGAAGCGAAAACAGCTTGTAGAAATTCAGGTGTGTTTGGGCCTCTCTTGCGTCACTTCTCTTGGTAAAGCAATGGGGGGGGGGAGTCCCCAGTGTTAGCTAAGACCTCCCTCAGGTTGCCAAAAATTCCAGGCCAGGATAGCAAAACTGAGGAAAGGCCAACAGCTTGGAGAGACCCACACAGGGTACCCACTCCCCTGTTTAGACTTCCGCCCGCCAGCATGGACGTTTATCAGAATGCAATTCATATTTTCCTTTGTAACGACACTGCAACCTTCACTGACAGCGGAGAAGGCAAGGAGGCCGGTTCTCCGTGCCAAAAAATGAAAGCCCTAAAAACAAACAAGGTTTGACCCGTCATCAGAAAGGAGGCAACGTGTCCAACGAGAGATTTCCGTGGGTTGTCAGCATCCGCACCCAAAGCGGTGGCCTGTTCCACGGGCACTTCCAGAAGACCAGAAAGGGAGAAAGGGACCCTGCAGGTTTCGACTCATGAATCCTCCAGCTCAGGGGTCTCCAAATTTGGGCACTTTTAAGATTTGTGAACTTTAACTCCCAGAATTCCCCACTTTAAGACTCATGGACTTCAGCTCCCAGAATTCCCCAGCCAGCTAGAAGACCTGCAAGGTCCTTTCCCACTGTTATTCTGTTAAGCTTTGCTGGCTGGGGAATTCTGGGAGTTGAAGTTCACAGGTCTTAAAGTTGCCAAGCTTGGACACCCCTGATTTAGGGCTTAAGAGGAGCTGGGCAGCGACGTCCCTCAGCCTTCTCCAACAGCTAATGACGGCTACAAATTAGAACAACTGCAGTAAGGATATTAACTAATCAGGTCATTTATAGTGGCTTATTGTCTATAGATTTCAGTCTCTTATTAAATATTTCAGCGTTTGGGCACATTGTCAAAACTCAATATGGATCCGAGGGTAAGTTTTAATGGGGAGAATGGTGTCAATTAGAAACCTTATCCGTAATTCTGAGCTGTGGCAGCCGGCTTTGAAATATGCAGTTCCAGAAGAAAAATAGAAAGGCCCCGCTACAAATTAAATTAGCAATTAGCATTCTCGTTGCTGGAAATGGCAGATTAATCATTTTACAATTTGGCTGGTCAAATTGATGCTTCAAAGCTGAGCTCAGCTCGCTGTATCAATAAGCAATTTCTTTAAATGTTCAAACCGATTTGCGTGTTCTCAAATGGGAGAACATTTCGGAACTGCAAGGTGTCCAAAAATCTCATTACAGGTAGTCCTTGACTTACAACACTTCATTTAGTGACCATTCAAAGTTACAGCGGCACTAAATAAAAGTGACTTATGCCCCTTTTTCACACCTATGACCGTTGCAGCCTCCCCATGGTCACATGATCAAAATTCAGACGCTTGGCAACTGGCATGTACCATGTTTCCCCAAAAATAAGACCCGTCTTATATTTTTTTGAACCCTGAAATAAGCGCTTAGCCTTATCGCCATGCGCTCCAAAGCCCGATTGGATTTATTATCAGGGGATGATGCCTTATTTTGGGGAAAACAGGGTACTTATGACAGTTGCAGTGTCCCGGCCTTACGTGATCCCCTTTTTGCGACCTTCTGCCAAGCAAAGTCAACGGGGAAGCCAGATTCACTTAATGACCACGTTAACAATAACTACAGTGATTTACTTAACAATTATAGCAAGAAAGGTCGTAAAATGGGGAAAAACTCACATAGCAACTGTCTTGCTTAGCAACAGAAATTTTCCGCTCAGTTGTAGTTATAAATCAAGGACTTCCTGTATTGTTTTACGGGGAGAAAAAAAATTGCTAATCTATTCTAAACCACTTAAAAGATTTCAAGGAAACGTTCAGAACAGGCTGTTTCTCACCACTACACCGTCCTGCCCCTAGACTAAGGAAGCCAGGAAGGCCTTTGAGGAGGTGTCAAACACCTTTGCAGAGAAAACAGGAATCGGAAGCCTTTCTGGAATAAAGGAACTCAGAGGAGTTTGCAAACCCAGCCGTCCTTTGCCTGCCTTTTCAAGCTTCAGGGCCTCCCTTCTTTCGGAATTAACTTCTTCCAGTTCTTATTTACACACAACTGAATCCTAGAACTAAGCTGCACTGCTCGAGCGTGGAATCCTGTGTAGCAATTTGTCACACTAATAGAGAAAGTGACGTGGGGCTCCTAAGGAGCCTTAAATTGAAAGGAAAGGAAAAGCAAATTGTGGGAAAGGCAGAGGCGTGTGAGTTGGGATTTTTCACAACTCGTGCAAATATCTGGGGCAGGCAAACTTTCAGCAGCTCAGGGCAAGGGCAGCATTCAGAACAGAATAGAGTTGGAAAGGACCTCAGAGGTCTTCTAGTCCAACCCCCTGCCTAGGCAGGAAACCTTATACTATTCTGCACAAATGGCTGTCCAATCTCTTCTTGAAAACCTCCAGTGATGGAGCATTTACAACTTCTGGAGGCAAATCACTGGACTCATTAATTGTTCTGTCAGGAAATTTCTCCTTAGTTCTAGGTTGTTTCTCTCTTTGATAACGTATGAGAGAAACCAGACTATAAAAACTGCTTTGTTTTGTCCTTCTTGGGCTTTACGTTCATGCTGTCCATCTCCTTTGGGCTTTTCCATTTATTCCAGGGTTGCTTGGCCGAAGCCCAAAGACGGAGCTGCTCAGGGATCTATGCCGAACCTGCCCCAGCTTTGCCAAGTGACTTGCTTTAAAACCTCCGTGCTATGATGTAGAAGGGGGGTCTCCAAAGCTGGCAACTCAAAAGACCGCCAAACATTCAAAGGAATGTTTGTTGAGTAGTTTATATTTCTGTTCTATTAAATCAAAGGAGGTGTGGATGCAAGATTTCAAGATCAGCAGCTGAAAACCCCAGCAGCTTTCAGCAGGCGATGGTGCTAGTCCTCTAGGTGGGAGGAACTCCAGATTCCATCATCCTTAGCCAGTCCACCTAAGAGCTAAGAAGGGAAGCCCGCTCAACAGCTGGAGAACCAGAAGCTGCCCAGCTGAGGATGCAGGCTGCAGAGGTGTAGAGCTAAGTCAAAGGGACATGAAATGCAGCCCCCACCCCAGTTCCCTGCTCTGAATCCAACTGGACACCCCCCCCCCACAGTGCAGGGGAGAGGCCTGTGTTCCTGACTCCCCCTCAACTCATCCACCAGCTGCATGAATGTCAGAATAACACCAGCATTCAGGATCTGATGACTCGCATTAAAAGGAGGGGGCTGGGGGCAGTGATTCCCCCCCAGCCTTGAATTAATTGCACAATATTTCCAGCCCTCCCCAAAGATGAAACTTGGTTGTTCTGCTCCTTAGCCTCTAGAGCAGTTTCTCAATCTTGGAGATGTTGAGATGTGGACTTCAATTCCTAGAATTCCCCAACCAGTATAGCTGGGAGTTGAAGTCCACAAGGCTTAAAGTCACGAAGCCACCCCTCCCCTTTCTTACAAAAGTTTCTGAACAAAAAGAAAGAAAAGAAACCAAGATCATCTTTAACCTCAGAAACCCTGATGAAAGCACCCCTCAAAGCACAATTCGGAACCTTCTTCTTCGTCCCCACCCCACCCCCCACCCCAAAGAATCCAAAGCCTTTGATCTCCCTGGGGAAAAATAAACGGAGGGCCGGGAATTCCTGGACAAGCAGCCCAAGTCCCTGCATTTGTTCAAATCCAGCAGCTTTTTTTTCTTCTTCTCCCCATTGAAAAAAGTTCAGATTTGCGTTGCCCCAATTAATGCATACAGTCTGTCACTAATTTACATCATTTGCATGATGCATTAGGATTGCAAAGCCCCGGAATTGATTCCAAAGGCCCAGCCAAGCAAAGCAAGGCCAGGCCATGGGGGGGGGGGCGGGGGGGGCGGAATACATTCAGGAATAGGGAGAGTTTGGAGTTCAGACAAGCAGACCTTCGCAGACACCCCTCCCCCACTGATTTGACTGTTGTTGGAAATGCGGATCCCCTTCCTGGCTCAGCCTCCTCCGTCCCCCCGTTTTTAAGAAAAACTCAATCCCGGCTTCCACCCCCAGCAAAGGGGGGCTGCTCCCCGGAGGCCTCCTGGAGAGCGCATCGCCCGGGCCCCGCCTGACTGGCAGACAGACAGACAGAGAGCGAGAGGGCGGGGGGGCTTCTGCTGGTCGCCTTTGTCCTCCTGGCTGAAGAGCTCGGGGGGGGCGGCGGAGGGGGCGTTGCGGCCCCCGAGGGACGAAGGCCGGGGAGAGGCGAGCCGAGCGAGACCCCGAGAATCCCGCATTCGCCGCCCTCCG